AATAATTATAGTAGATTAAAAAATTAATCTAAAAAACCACGTTTTCAAAAAGCAAAAAATAACCTTAAACGTGGTGCGCATGGAGATTGTTGGGAAGAAGTGAAATACAAATTAAATACATGCGCACCACATTTAAGGTTATTTTTTGCTTTTTGAAAACGTGGTTTTTTAGATTAATTTTTTAATCTACTATAATTATTATCTAATTACTGATGAAGAAATCCAGGGAAATTTTCCATTGAGAAAGCCTGCCAAATATGGAAAATAATGGCACCATGAAACATCAACAGCTAAAATTAAAATTTGCTTCAAGAAATACTGTAAGTTAGAAAAAATATTCTTGCAATTAATCCTTCTGTGGCAAAGTCAGGATCTTTTTGCAAAATGTTGTGAAAAGAGTTCTAAAAAAAGAAAATGAACTGAGTACCAAAGCAAAAGTCAAAAAAGGTGCAATTTGTTCTCTGTTTATTGCAGAAAACTTATTTTGTTGAAAAAAAGTCCTTGTTGGGCAAAATTATTTTCCTGTATTCCTTGAAGGAAATTAAAATGGACAATTTCTGAAAAAGAAGGGTTCACTCTTCCAAGAGTTTTCCTGACTTAGTTCTTCTAAACCTGGGTGCATTTCATTAACATTTCATTTGAATTCCATCTGTGCATAAAAATTATCCCAAGCTTTCCATGGTATGGAAAGGAGGCTGTTGGTTCCCTGACAGATGTTGCCACATGTGGAAAGGTGGATTGCCCAGGGTGCAAACTTGGCACAAGATGGCAGCATGTGCATAACCCAAAATTCCTGCTATTATTTGGCTGGTTCAAGGCATTGTGGCAAACTGGTGGCAATACAGGAATTGGGGCAAGGATAGGTGCATGATGCAGGGAAAAAATTCACTCAAATTCTTCACGTGCATCTGAGAGGATATATGGCTCTTAAGAGCTGATATGAATGTGTTATGTGTGATTGACTTTTGTCAGATTGTTGAGAAGTTAGAATGTTGTTTTTCTGTGAGTTGTATAACCATGCTGTATCCACACTGGTCACTCTCGTCTACTGTGAATAAATGTATGTTTGCAGCTGCATAATTGCTGACTGCTGTGTTTGAATTACCGTATTTCAAACCTTCCTTAAATTCTTTGTTGAATTCTGGTCTGACAGAGGCTGCTGTCATCCAAATGTTAAATTAAATGCCTTTTACAGGGATGATTAGTGATGACTTTTCCACTTGTCCCACTGGTTGAATGTTTTTTCCCCTCAAAGAATATATATTGACCTGCAATTTGCCACCTACTTTTCTGACAATTCCAAAAAAAGAGAAAGGTGTAATGGTAACTGTGTAAATTACATACCAAATCATCATGGAAGAAGTAAGTGAGTAATTTAAATTATGTACATCTTTGCTGTTCCTCAACCCATGGTCCAATACTGGTGCCAGTCCACAGAGATCTTTTTGTTAGTCCACAGGAAATTTTCTTCATCATAAAATATTTAGAGAAGTATCAATGATGTGTGTCATCTTTATCTGAAACTTTTGAAAGACAATGGCAGTTGAAATCATTTGATGAAAAATTTAAGTTGCGTTTTCTCCTAATAGTGCTTCAGACATATTTTCACCTAGTGAAATTAATAATTTTAATGTTTCATTCTGAGAGACCTTCATTCAAGCCCACCTTTTCAATTTTTAAAAGACATTACGCTATATAGCGGCTTCATTGCTGGATCTTAACTTCATTTATTTCTAAACAGCAGAAACATGTTGAAATACCTTTCATAAAGTCTATCAAACACCACTTTTTTGAGTGTGCAAAATTTTATAAAACTTTGCTTGGCTGCAGAAACTTTTTTGGAAGTTTGTTTGTCTGTGGGACCAAAAAGGTTGGGGAACACTTCTGTATAAAGTCTATGTAACAATCCAAGTTCAAATTTGAGCACTTGTTAATTGTATTGGCTTTGATGCATTCTAATGCCTATATGTCCTAGTGACTCCCAACAAAGAAATGAATGAACACTGGTCATCAGATGAATTGCTCAAATCTCTTCAGCGCAGGCAGAAAACCAAATTGCAACACAAGTGCAAATTGGGAACCTATAAACCTTCCCAACAGACCATGCAAAAAAAAAAGAATTCAAGCTGATTGACAAGAACATCCCATCAAATTTCCATTGTCATCATGCAATAAGGTTTCAATTTATTTTCCACCAATACAAAGCCTGGTCATCAAGGCAACATCGGCATCATGTGCGGATCAGCCACATTTGGATTCATCAACGGGAAATCGCTTGGCTTTCTGTTACCCCCCATGCCAATAACCCCGGTGCCATTCCCATCAGCACCCATGCCGCCAAACATTGGCCCACCACCGCCATCACCACCAGCACCGGCGCCAAATAAGGACTGGTGGAACTCTCGGATTTTGTCCATGATGTTCCCGATGTTGAATCCATTCTCGTCTAGATGTCGCCCGCCGGGTGGCAGAAGAAACGGCATGGATCCGTTAACAGCGGATGTGTTGACAGCGTGCACCACGGAATGGGCCTGTTGAAACCCCCTGAGGCGACCCTGGGAGTCCCTGAATTCCTTGCGGAACACGGACTTGACCGCGTTTGACTTGGGGTCCTTTTCACGGTGCAGAGACGCGTTGATGTGACCTCCGCCGAATTTATCTTTCAGCTGCAAAGAGTTCAGTTTAGTTCAGATCAATTTGTATGATTAATTGAGGTTAGCTTAATTTAGGTCAGGCTATATAGTTCAGCTTAGGTTGATTCAGCTCTGGTTGGGTTAGGCCAGTGTTCCCCAATCTTATTTGGTCTGCAGAAGTTTTTGCTGGTCCACAGGAAATTTTCTTCAGCATAATGAGTTCATCAAAATTAGTAATGAAGCGTGTACCATATTTTTATCTGAAATTTCAGAAAGACAAAGAAAGTTTTAATTATTTTATGAAAAATTGAAATTGTTTTTGCCTAATAATGCTTTAGAAACATTTTCACCTGCTGACAAAATTGTTTTCATTTTTCATTCTGAGGAACCTTTCTTATTCAAGCCCACCTTTCCAATTTTTGAAAACATTCCCCTGGAGCAGCTTTGATATGGTTATTAACTCAAAGGTTGAAAAAAGCAAAAACTTTGTAAATCCTACCATTTTCAAACAAAACTTGTTTGAGTCTACAAAATTTTTTATGAAACTTTACCTGTCTGCAGAATTTTTTGTGGAAATTTGCCAGCTTTAAAAATTTATAAAAGGAAATTTGCTGGTTTGTGGGCCCAAAAAAGGCTGGGGAACACTGCTTTAGGGTATAGATTGATTTATTTTTTGCTACTTCACCTTGAAAATTTTTTAGATGATGCATTGTGAGAAAAATATTTGCAAATCAATTTCAGATGTCCCCAAAAGTCACTTAGAGGAAAGACCAACATTTTGGAGGTTGTGGGAGAAGACTGGTAGGGAAGGAATTATTGGTTGAAATACTGTACCTCAAACATGTTCTGCTCCAAAAGAGGCAGAGAGTAAAAACAAATTGAACTTGAAACTCCACAAATAGAACCTCCCAAAGTCAAATACCTTCATGAGTTATTGTTTTTTTTTATTGAGGAACAATGCATCAAAAATCCAAGGATTTAATCCTCAGGCCTCCAAAACTGAAAGTTCGTGGAGTCCTTTTGGCTATTATTTGACTGACACAAGTAAGAGAAAACAAATGAAAGCGTAACTTGATGTGATTTGGAAGTAAGTGACATATTAATTGGGAAAATGAACCCCTGCCACAAGTGAAGCATCCTTTCAACTCATTTATAAAGCAATTTAAAGCCTAGAATAGCACCAATTACAATTTCCAGTTATTACTTTTTCAACAAAAAAGCTTGCTTCCCATAAATTGAAACTTGCCTAAATCAATGTTTTCTCTGGTCCCCTGAAATTTGACTTGGATATATAAGACTGCTGCATTAAAAATTAATCCTGTCATCATTTGCTGTTTGCTTTGAGTTGAAAAAGTGAGAAAGGAAACAAATAACTTCAAAACCTAAGATATATAATATGACTTTTCGCGCGCAAAAAGTACTGGAAAATGAACCTCTGTACGCAACCCTTTTGTAAGGGTCATGGCGGTTTTATGATTGAGGAAACATTCTTAGGAATGCCGACTCATTCACTGTATTACCCGACATTCCTGATAGAGTGTTTTATATAGCATCGACAAGCTGTTCTACACGAAACTGGTCCGTAGTAATGGAATTGTCATGTAAATTGGTTTTTCTCTCGAATCGTCGCCATGTAAATTATTTTCTCTCTGCCTTCATTATTTCCATAGTCAACCTATCCGTTGAATAACTCGGGCTAAAAATAGAAAAGCGTGAGACCATCAGGAAGGAATTTCTGTTTTTAATTGTTGACAGAAACGGCCATTTTTTAATTCATGTACTGTATAGAGTCAAACTTCCATTCATACATGAATATTTCTTGACATTTTATTTATTCACGACTATTTACTTCCATTGATTGACGGCGTATAGCTGCATTTTTGGACTGGAATTAAGAGTTGACTCTTGGTATTATTCGGAAATTTTCAAAGAATCATTCAAGTTGATAGGAATATTGCCAAATAAACGATAAATGTTCAACTGTATTGATGTGCATGTTGCAATAACTTTTCTGCTGTCCTGTATTTTGCTGGTACAAAATTGAGAACCTGCAGTAAAATTCATAATACAGCATTGTCTTTCTGCTTTTTGACAAATGAAAAAATTTTCTTGCTAAACTTACTGAACAATTTCTTATTTCCTGTTTGCAACAGGGCCTCAGGGGAATTTTTGCACAAACTTTATGAAACGTCTGCTTGGAAGATTACAAAGCCTAGAGAATTAGTAAAATTGTGTGAAGCTTTTATTTTGAAAACTAGTGCATTAGCAGAATTTACTAAAACTGCTCTCGAAAATTTTACACCACTCACAGGATACTTATTTGAATCCATGTTTGTTCATCAGGTAATTCGTATATGGATGGACTTATTTTCACTTTTCCTCTACCTCCAAGCAACTTATTTGAATTCCTGACATTTATGAACAAATTTTGGTTCTGCTCTGCTGGGGTGCTCCATTAATTTGTATATTCGAATTATGTAACAATCCCAGAATTACTAGCTGTTGATCCCTGATCAATGCCAAATTCCCTCTTATTTTCCGCAACTTGCATGTTTTGGTTATTTTTTAATGCTGAAGCTTGTTTCAGGTCATTCAAAGCATTATAGAAGCTTTTAACTGTGCATTTACACATTCTGAATCCCTAATTCAGGGATTACAGAAGCTGAAGAATTTGTTGCCTCACAGGTCAACAGACTATTGCCTGCTTGAAGAATATCATGACATCTGGATTATGTTATGAGTTATGACACACACTTTCAACCTATCATGGTGTTCTATGAATTATACAGTAAGATTTCTGTTTAAAGAAGCAGATTGGAAAATCTTTTACAGTACATGAAAACCCTTCTTGTGGGGGTATTCAACATTACTGCTCTTACAGCCACATACATTGGTATGATTGGTTAATGACTGACTACATGTGTTACCTTGCATTTTGACCCTAATCCATTGCCAAACTAGGGTCAAATTGCAAAGTGGTGGAATTGTGAGACACTTTCTGAAATTAAAAAAAATATCAGTATAAAAAGGCAAAAAAAGTGGCCAAAGCAGGTCAAAGTGCAGGGCAAGGGTCAAATTGAAAGTCAACCTCCTGGAAAATTGCAATGTCAAATTGTGCAATGGTCAAATTGCAGGAGGTCAAATTGTGAGGTACCACCTGCATAACCTTTTCAGGTGAGGGAATGAACCTAATTTTATGAAAGCTTTGAGGCAAAGCATTTGATTCCACAGGTGCCAATGCATTTAAAAATAGGAAAACTTATTAGGAAATGATCCAAAGCTGAAATTGGAACTCTCTGTACAATTAAATTCAAGGGACCTGAAAAATGTATAATAGAGTGATCTCCATCATAAACAGCACATATAATATGCAGAGAGAGCTCTGTGGGACCATATAAACATTTTTCATAAGGAGAAACTTATTTTACACACAACTGTTGTAGAGAGATTCCACCTGTGTTAATTTGACAGGAAATGTGTTTCCATGAGGCACAAGATGAATTGGATAATACAGTATTGCACATTCTGCTTATTGTGAGAACTTCCATTATACAATTGATGTACAGTAGAAAGATTTGCAAAGAATCAAATACTATACAATGAAGGCTCAATATGAGTCCTCCTCAATTTTTCTCAAGTTTCAAAGATTGTGTACAGCACTTTACTCACAGCAGCAGCACCTCTGGAATGCATCTCCTGTTCACGCCAAGCCTTTTCCACAGTGCTTATGAAGGCTCAATATGAGTCCTCCTCAATTTTTCTCAAGTTTCAAAGATTGTGTACAGCACTTTACTCACAGCAGCAGCACCTCTGGAATGCATCTCCTGTTCACGCCATGCCTTTTCCACAGTGCTCTTGTGGAATTCCAGAGCTGCAATGTGGGACTGGCTGAGGGTCACACTCAGGGGTCCACTGGGGTCAGCAGGGAATTCCCTCAGTCCCTGTGCCTGGTCAGGGTTCAGGATCCTGAAGCCCCCCTCGCGACTGGCCTCATAATTGACTCTTTTCTTCTCCCCACGCTCATCAGTGTACTCATAGATGCCTTGCACTGTTGGTCCACTGGAGGCTATCTGTAATTTATTCCAGGAATGCTCAACACATTACACAAAATATAATGGATTTGGACTCTGCATAACAATAAATGAGGAAATAAGGGAACAAAAAATGCAAAAATTGACACCACAACATTTTTAGACTGGGAAAAGGTCACACAAACAGCCAATTTTTCTCCTATGAAAAATTCTTGAGGCAGCAAGTTCTGGAATATCATTAATTTATCACTTCAAATACTGTACTTGAAAACTTCAAATTTTAAATAATGGGGTCTAGTTTGGGCCATACAGTGAAATCCTGAAACAAGGGATCTTGTTATACACATACAATGACTTGATACTTTTAAAAAACCTACAAATTTCTATGATGAAATTTCTCATAGAAAAGTGACTCTCCTAACAGATTTGTAAAAAATACAAAGTTTTCATGACGTAAAAAAATTTTGGGTGAGTAAATGTTGGAAACTTTTGAAGTTTTGGCCAATTACAGTTAAAATTTGTAAACATGGACAAAGCAATCTTGGTTTGAGCACTTATTCTGATGATTGAGAACCCTTTATTGTTTCTTTTTTTTCAAAAATGAAAAATCAGATATTGTCAAGGATTTTTTCATCTCCAGCTTTAGTGCATGTGTTCTTTGGAAAAATTAGAGTGTATTACATTGCATTGATTGGTAAATTCCACATATTCTTGCTTAAGTACTATTTTTGTTCCTGCATCAAAAATATTGGTAAAATATAAATGGATCTTGGTGTTGGCATGAAAAGAACTGCACATGGAAAATCATTCAAGAATGTTTTTCAGCAATAAAAATATAGACCTAATTTACTGCTTGGAATGCTTGTATACTCCACACAGTAAATGTGCATCAGCAGAATCGAATTTTCTTTTCCAGATGTAGATGAAGTAAATGTTTATGTAGACCAAAAAAGTTACTGCTTAAACAAAATTTGAGTTAAGAACCAATGCGACAGCTCTAGTGGAATGTCTTCAAAATTTGGAAAGGTGGACTTGAAGGAAGATGCTGTACATAACAAAAATTAAATAATGTTTTCCACAGATTAAAATTTGTCTAAAGTGTAATCAGGAGAAATTAAAGACAACTTTTATTTTTCATAAAATAATTTATCCTGCAATGTTTTCTTCAGAATTTCAGATAAAGTCAACAGAGTAATTGCTAATTCTAAATTTATTATAATGGGTAAATTTTCCTTGGGACACATTAAGAAAAAAACTTCTGTGGACTACTATTACTGGAACATGGACCACGCCTAGAAAGTGTGAACACTGCTTTAAACATAATGGAATTACCAAGCAGGAAAAGGTGTTCAATTCCACATGGACAAGGTTATACATACCTGTTGCCTAGTGCCATCTTTCCGCACAAGGTCCAGATTGTAAGACCCATCAACTTGCTGCTGAGAATTCCCATCAATCCTGATGTTCACTGAATGGTCCTCTTTGAGTTGGTCTGGTCCAAAGGGTTTCATGTGAACCTCTCTGAGAAAAACCAGTAACACCAGTGCTGGTGCCCACTTACCCCATGAGCCCTGCCCAGAAAAAAAAAATAATTTAAAAATAAGATGATAGTTTCCGCCAGGGAATTTTAATTAATCACGCTTCCGCACAAACGAGTTCCCGTTATTATGCTTTGCTGGGATAATAAAGAAGGACCTGTTCCTTCAGGCAATTATACCGAGACCTTGAGGTTCAGTGTTCTAGGAAGAATGGGATATAGGGATATGTTTTTGTCTGGTGTGTCCAGTGACCTGTGGCACTTCCTGGAAAAAAATCTTTTGGACATTTCACTCAAGTACTGTCCTCTATTCTTGGATATCTCATTAAATGTAATAATGAGTGTGATTAACGAGATCATTCTGAAGGCTGTATATAGGTATCATTGGCACAAAATTTCCAATTCATTTATGCTGTAATCAGTGGGACCCCAACATGCAGACACCTTTACATATGGAAAATTTGACTTAGGGACACTTGATGACTCAAAAATTGGCCCCAACATCCAGACAATGTCTTAAGATACAGTTATTTCCCAACATTTTGAGACAAATCAAAAAGTTGTATTTATCAAACCCCACTGTAATTTCCAGCACTAAATAAAATTGTACCTTGCTGTCAATGATTCAGCTATGTGAATTTTGTTCATTTTTTAAAGGGATTCACTCAAGAACTGTATAATGAAACTCTCCATAAAGCAAATAATATCTCCTTTGAACCTGTATAAAATTGAAATTTGAAAGAGCATTTTAGCAATTATTCTGGAGACTCAGGAAAGAGAAAAGAAAGAAAGGTTGCAATGCTGTTTAAAAAAATTCAGTGAAAAATTGGGGAAATGCTTTTACTCTTGCCTATAAAAGTTCAACATCCTGTGAACACAAATACTGTGTTCAACTGTTTAATGCCCAGAAGATGACAAATTTCACTTTCCTTCAATTCTTTCCCCCAAGTTCAAAATATATACATTTTTGTAGGTCTGAGTTTAACTTGGGGAGGAGCATCCACAGCAATATACTGTATCACTAACTTGGAAATGCATAACATCAAGCTAAGCAAAATAGATAAGCTGAGCCTGGGATAAATCTAGTCATTCCCACACACACGTTTTCTCACGTACCTCCATGATTTTTTTCAAGTCCTTTTTTTTTCTTCGGTAACCAACGAAAAATTTGGCCCAGTATTTCAAAAAGCAAGCCTCAAAAATGGCGATTCTTTTCTGCAATAAAGGTATCAACACAAATCTGCTCAGCTCCGCTTCCTGCGAAGAACTGAGATAATGGATGACTAGCGGACGTGGGAAACAGCAAGGAGAAGCAAACAGAAGTCTGAGAACAAATATTTCTGCCAGTCTTATTTGTCGGTTAGTCAGCTCTGCTTCGGTTCCCAACACCGCGCTTTCTTTTTTTATTATTCTCAATCCCTGACCCCGATGTTTTTCATTGGGTTTTATTTTTTAAAAACCGTAAGACATCCCCCCGACAGTTGGACGTCTCATCATTTACATGGAAAAAGCGGAAGTAGACAATTGAAAAATCAACGGACGCAGACGGAATCATAGGGGGAATATACACGAGCGACACCTATGAACTCTTTTAGAATTTCTCGATGCAGTATTTTCCTTTCCTGCGAAGAGGGATGGTGTCTAACCCCGCTTAGTTCTCCTCAACATAATCTGACCGGGCGTTTCTAATTAGACTTATTCGCGGTACATTATCACAATGACTAGCTTTTAATGTTTTCCGAAAGCAGGAAATAGTCGGATGAGGAATTTTTTCCTGATCCCTTGAATTTCGTTGTAGAGACTCTACCTGCAATGGGAATTCGGGAAAATGTGCAATGCGAAGAAACAATGGAACGTGTGCGAGCGACATCTTTGAAGCATTCTTTTATTTCCTATAGTTTGGGATAGAAACATACATGATGATCTTTAACCATTAACTTTGATCTTGATTAAATACATTGTTATTGACTTCACAGCAGAGTCAATTGCGAAGAAAGGACAAATTGTGAATCATTTTCTTAATACTGTGTGTTGTTGAAAAGAGATATGGCACATACAGTGACACCCCAAGATGTGGACTTAATTGGTGCATCAAGAGTGTCCCTAAGTTGAAATGTCCCTAAGTCAAGTCTCATTTTCCCTTAGACTTACTCACTTACATTATATAGATTTTAAGTGGTGTTTCATTTAAAAAATACTCACCATAATTCCATGAAAATAAAAATTGTCTCCCAATTTAAACTGATTCCAATCAATGTATATCATCACATAATATGGACATTTGTGGAATTGAATTCCAATACCTCTGTAGAGTACACAGACAAGTTTGAATTCTTGGTAAAAATAACATTCAAGTGAAAAAGAGAGGAGGAAGTCCCTCTCTGCTGGAGATAAAATTTTTTGTATCAGCTAAATGGATGGTACAATGTTGACAGAAATGCCCAATAACTTTTCTCACATCAATTTTGGGGTTGGAAATATCTGTTTCTTGTAATGTTGCCCAAAATGTACAGTATGTGCAATTTTATCACAAAATGTCTCTATGTCAAGTCAGTGTCCTCACGCCAGGCCTTTTTCATAAATTTTTCATCAGAAAATAAGTGTCCCTATGTCGATTTGTCCACAGGTAAAGGTGTCCGCATGTGGGGGTCTCACTGTACTTGAATTGTACACTTTCCCAAGAATTTTATCAAGCTTCTCATCCGCATAAAGAACAACATGCATCACGATTCTGTCATCATGCTTATAAAGATGGACAAAGTACATGTGAATGGAATCTTGAGAAGAAATAAAGTGAAAATAAATTTAGCACAGTAAAAGATTGCTGTCATTTATTTTCCATGACAGGCAAATTAGTTCCTTCTCTGGTCGTAGCGGCTTTTCCATCATCTTTAATAAGGTGAAAAGTAAGGTGAACGTCTTGCAAAAGAGTGTATGGTACTAAAGTGAGTAATGTGCAATAGTTAAGTTTGTATTTATTTCACTCAGTGTACTTGAGTAGAACTTGGAGCATTTATGGCAGGCTATTTGGTATATTGAAAAAAAAAGTATGGCAGGGTGGAGTACATTTTTGACTGATTCATTTATATTCAAGCTTCCTTCACCTCTTTTCTAGTGTTCACAAGGTTGAAAAAAACGTTTGTGCAAACAGGAAATATCAAAATGGAGTCTGCTACGCCAAAAAAAAAATCATTCAGTTTAGCCTCAAGACGTTGCTGTTGTGCTATATTCCTTGGTTTTATGTGGGAGTTTGAATGTCCTGCAGTGACGATAAGTAATCTTTTATTACTTTGTACTCATGCACAGTATACATCAGACCCTGTCTGAATTTCAGCCTCTACTGAAAATGGCGGGAAATTCATAAAAATGTGACCCAAACTTGGGCTTCCAAGGGCACAAGAAATACGGCATCCAAGGGTGTTGATTGAAAGCAGAACAAAAAGTGAAAAACGGCTGCTGCGCAACGTTTCCTGTTGCATTACTGCATTGCTGCTGCTGCTTAGGGACCTTGTGTGACAACTCCACCAAGACGCGCCGATGCTTCTTCTTTGTCTTGATTACTTTTTTCTGCGGGTAGATGTCGCTGCACGCTCCCGGCTTTTCCTCGCCTCCTATCTGCAACGGAACTGGCGGCGGCTGGTCCGGCAATGGCGCCTGGTTCGCAGGCACGGGCTGCTGCTGCTGTTGCTCCGGTTGGCGCTTCTGGAGGACGAGGTTCGGAAGATGACCGCCACTTGTCTGCGGTGATGGCGGTGTTGGGCGGCGGCGGCAGCGGTGGTACTGACGAGACACGACGAGTTCCGCGACTGGTGGTGGTGATGCCGGTGTGGCGCCGGGTTTACTCGGGGTTCTGGGTGTATGAGAGCATCAGGAACCTGTTCCTGGGGTCACTTTGTTGCTCCAGTTTCTTTCAAGGCAGAGCAGGAGGCTTATCGTCATGATTCATGAACACCAATAAGTATTATGGAACATTTATGGTGCATTAATTGTCTTTTTGGAATGAGAACCTTTATACATTTTTCGAGTTTGTTCATCACAAAGGATCACAAAGGCTTTTCAAAATTATTTTGAGAGCTAGAAATAGACGTGAATTTTATAAAGAGTTTAAAAGTTCATGGAAAGAGTTTTTGGACGTTTGATAACACTTTCTTACTTTTGTCAATCTAGCAAGTAGTTTGAAGAAATGAGAATATGAATTCAAAATTTGATAAAACACCACCAGCCATCAGCAAAAAATGTTTCAGAAAAGTGGAAAACCATCAATATTAAACTCACTGGGTAATTTTTCAAGACAGTGTGAAATGAATGTCACAATCTGGCCCAAACCATAACATTTCCATTTCTGTAATGATGGCCTATGATCAAGAATGTTCCTATTATTTCGAAAATTTTAGGAGAGTCAAAGCCAGTTATGTAATTGAACCATTTGTTATACAGTAAAGGGAACAGATGCTTTTTTGATCCTAACCTGGAGGACATAAAGAAAATCTCTTACAAAATGAAATTATCATCTGCATATACCTGGACCAAAATCCTGTTCAATTGGACTAATAAATTGGTCTAACAATTTTATTCCTAGGAAATTGTTTTCCCAAGTGCAACACAGAACCACCAGCACTTTCATTCCCAATATGTAATTGTAATGCCTATGTAGACATGCTGGTACACTTACACTATAGCATTTCAATATTGGATATTCTCCCCCTTCCCAGGAAGTTTGGGACCCTGGTGTTTTGTCTTTCAAGGCTGCTATTATAATTAAATCTTCATCTCCCATTTCGTTTTGGAAGCCTGACATAGAAAGGAAATTTTAAAATTACAGATTTTAGAATAGCACATTTGCTGCATTACCTCATTGTGATGACTTTTGTTTAATTGTAGTCTTCCAGAAGATTATAATTTTCAGGTTGCTGTGCAAGTGTTTTCAAATTTTTGACTGGATTTTGCATTTCAACAACTTTTAAAATGCCACCCCAGGTCCTAAGTGTTGTAGAGATCATTTGGAAGAAATGCTTTTGTAAGATTTGTATGCAATTTTAAATGAATGAAGTTTGTTATATACAGTAGTTCTTGTAAAATTCTCTGAAGATTTTGGTGGCACAGGTTAGGAGTAAAATTGAACATGTTTGTCAATATGAGACCAGGAGATTCAAAGAACCAGAATGCTTGTGCTCTGCTTTGGTTCTATTCAAAGACTTTAACTACTATTCAGGGTATGTTGATCATGTATTCTACTTTGCTTTGATTTTCAAAAATATGTTTTTTGCAGCTGACAATTTTGTTGAAGGTTTATTGAACATGTCAGCAATTATTTAAGCATGGGATTTTTAATACTGCTGACAGATGTTTGAATGTAATGATAGCTAAGTAGGAGTGTTTTTTAGTAACTAAAGGAACTGCACACACAACATACAGTGGGGTCTTGGCCTACAAACCTAATTAGTTCCTAAGTGAAGTTTGTTAGCTGATAAGCTGAATAGTTTGTTAGCCAAACCATGTTTTCCCTTGAGAAAGTAAAAACAAAAGTTTTCAATTGGTTCCAAAACCTTGGAAGTATCCATGGAAATCAAGAGAATTCATTTTAAAATTTCCTACTAGTCCTGGAGTCAGAAGAATTTTCCTTGGGAAATATGAAAGAAAAAGTAACTTAGGGGCTGCGCAGCGGTTCTCTTTTGACTTATGTGTCTGTAAAAAGAATATGTCAGACAATCTGTGCCGTGCTAAATTTATTTGGAAAACAAATCTAAAATATAATTGAAATGATCCCAAATTCAAATACACCAAAGTTTGTAAGCCAGGCCAGGGTTTGTTAGCCAGGTTGGCTGAGGCCCAAATCCAAGTTTTGTTTGCTGGAAAGTTTCTTAGCCAGGGTTCTTTTAATCAAAGATTCCACCATATTCTGGTATCAGGTAACGTTTTCCCAGAGTGTTGACTTATTGTGAAAAGTTCAAGCTTACAAAAAGCAAAGCTGCCAAAGCTGATACATTTTTGAAAGATGTTCAATTTGATAATGCAGTACTTTAATGCAGCCTTGCACATTACTTTAAAAGGATACTCAGCAAGCGTTGCCAGATTTTTTATTTCTATACTAACAGGGTTTGTCTAGTTTCATCATAAACACCATCATCAGACATGTGAGTCATCAATTCATCAATAATCCCTGAGCATCATCTGTTTTGCTTTAAATAAAGAATTTCCTTCTTGACATACTCCCAAGCTACTTTATCTTTTCTTAATCCAATTTATAGCACGACTTCTTGGTTCATGTAGTCCAACCAAAACAACCACATAATAACTTGCATAAGTTCAAGTGTGTTTAATCTAAAAGACATTGCCAACCTAGGGCTGTTTTTTACCCAAAGGAATAAAATAAAGTGCTTGCTAGATAGAAGAGCCCTGATTCTTGCTCACTAACCTGCTTTGTATAGCATAACCTGGGACTCCAGAATTGTGAGAAGAGCTCTTGATAGCTCCTTTTATTGACTGTTTCTTCAAACTTGACTTTTCAGAGTCATGGTAGTGCATCCTTCTGCAAATAAAGCAGTTCTGCAGGCTATTGTCTGCTTTCTTGGAAGTCAAGACATTGTTTCCAGTATTGAGGGGAATGACATTTGATGACAAGTCTCTCTTGAGGTCTGGCTTTCCAGTAATTGGTAACAGCACAGCAGACTCTGTTCTGTACAGCAGGTTGCCAAGAACTACTTGTTTTGCTGACAAGCCAAACAAGTTGTGGCTGGATACAGATGACTTGAATAGATCACATGTCAAGCCCAACAAGGCCATTGAGGTCATCAGCATTTTCAGTCCCTGCTGGTTGGTGAGGAAATTATCATCAAGTAGCTCAGTTTCCTGCTTTATATTTGTCAGCTCAACTGATCTTAAATTCCTGAAGGCACCACTCTTCTAAAATTTAATGATGAAGGAGGTTAGATGAGTATACAGAAATAATTTATTTATTTTTTAATAAAAGATATATGCAGAACTACTTGAAGACAGTGAGGATAGTCATTTGATTATCATGAGCAAGAATGACCCAAACTCTATTTATTTTCTAGCAGGTAGTGATGTGTAATTGTTTTGAATGACTTTCAAAACAATCTTTGCATAGTTTAGAACTATACATAAAAGAGGTTCACAAACAAGAAGCCCTTTGGGTACCACCATATATGTAAGAAGAGTAACAGTCCTTGATTGATCAGTTCACAATGTGTTCTCCAAGGTAAAAAAAAATAAGACAAATTTATGTTTAAAAAAGGAGACCAATGTCAAAAAGGCATTGTCCAGTGTAAATTCAAAAAATTGTGTTTCATGAGAATTAAATAAGCGCAGAAAAACGTTTTAAGAATGTGAAGATCACATTTCTTTGCAAAACCCAGTTCTTTGAAGAGAGAACGAATAGAGGAAAATATTTTCTCAGCAATTAATTTTGAATTCTGGATTTCTGTATGGGGCTGCATCAGTAAGCAACTATTGAACACAGATTACAAATGTTAGAGAATTTCACTCATTATCTTTACTATAATTTTAAACTCTTCTATTATTAGCATTTACTCTATTCTAATTTTCTTGTGTTTTTCAATTCAGAAAAATATGAGATAAGAAAGCTGCGTATTTTTGCAGGAGTGAAATGTTTTTTTTCTGCACAATCACCAGGATTTTTTTGAACTTCCACTAAAATTAAATTTAAAAAAACTTACATTGTAGGGCATCTTTAATCCCTGTAGAAAGCTGTGGCACAGAAACTTTCACTGATATTCAAAAAAAAATAAAAATAACGCCGGGAATAAAAATTGAGCGAGTCATTTTAGAATGTTCAGCAGTATATTTGGCACTGAATCAATGACTAGCTCATCTTCATCACGTGAATTCAAACACGCGTATAAGCTTCAGTTCACTATAGAAACATACGCACAAGGAATGCATTTCGTTCGAACACTGTTAGAAAAGTGGACAAGCAGCAAGTCTTTGATCCACGGGCCGCCAAAGAAAAAGCAAATTTGAATCATCATGTATTGAAACGCTGGAATCTTTGGCAAATACAGGCGTTGTTATTTATGTGGAGTTCGTCTGCGTGCCAAAGAATGCAAATAAAAAAAGAGGCCGAATCAATAAAGTAAGTGGCTTTTCTTCAGGGTCTGTACAGTATACTGTGTACTTTTATCTGGCTTCTGATGTTGGTTTCTCTCGCATTCGGCTTTCTTTACTCTCTCGGCTGTTTTGTTTAAAGAATAAATAATTTCTAATGGAGAATTTAGCATTGCTGAAATATTTCATTTTTTCTGCCCAATCGTCTAAAAAACTACACATTTTCTGCGGCTCTGGCTCGCAATGTGAGTAGCAGAGAGATAAAAAAATTATGCTGACGTTTGAAGCATGATTTCCTGGCAATTATCGCTAATACTGTGTTTGTATAGCCTACAGCAGCTGATTTAGAATTTGCCGAGTTCTTTCAAGTGATTTTCATTCTCATGGTTATCTATATCAGTGCTTGACTTTGCAGCAACAACAACAAATTGCTTATGTCCTTTTTTGCATCATTTGAATTAGTATTTATGCCTGTAATGCTTCCTTATTCCTTCATATTTGCAGGGTGTTTCTCTGATATTGAATGAAAATAATCAGCCATGCTCATGCAAAAATGCTTCTTTCTCTAAACTGCAATCCTCCCCAACATTAATTTTCCTGGTACCTTGAATTTTTACTCAAAGAATTTGGCTATTATTTGTATTTTGGCACAACCGTACCATTGGGAATTGGTCCTGCATCTTCTTTTACTATTTCAACCCAATTTAATGCATTATTCATAACATATTCTGAGAATAAGGTACCATACTATGGGTATAGTTATGATTTGTTTGAGTCATATTTATATGAAATCTACTATTTTGTTTCCACCTATTGATCCATCTAATTTCTGAATGATATGCATGTTGTTCAGGTAGTCCTAGGATAAAATATACAAAATTAATCTCAGAAAGAAATGTTGAATGCAAATGGTTGATGATGCAGTATTACAGTATTAGCAAGTTCAAGACATAAAATGGAATACTGTATGATCAGTATTGAATGAATTGTCATCAAAATCCTGTCATTCCTTCTTGCTAGCAGACCACTCTTCAAGCAGTTGCATTTCCTACTCTCTCATCATTGATAATAAGCTGCCCAAAGCTGTAGGCCACATCCAGTTATGGAATTGTCCTCAAATAAGGTCAGATCCAGGTATGTCCAGTCTTGCCCAATATCAGACCATGAAGTCTATAAAACTATCCATTTTCTATATATATATATATACAGTATATATATATATACATTCATTGGTTATATTCATTCCTTGAAGGGAGTAGTTTACACTGTTATTCATTCTTTTCAAAATAATAAATCTGTACTTATTGTTATTTCATAAGAATTACCAAGCAGGATTACTGATTTGCCACAACCTGGCAAAAAGGATGATAAATCTCCTCAATGAATAAACCTGTCAGACGGAAATTGACAAATGAAATACAATGGTAGAGTATCTATTTGAGGACTTGAGGGATGTCTTGAAATCTTTGTACAGTACTTCCTTGTCCTCTAGTAGTCTAGTCCAGGTCTGGCAACAGAACTTTGCATAGCCAGATTTTACTTTTTACCCTAGGTGGAGTGCGCTTGGAGTAAAATCAAGCAATGCCCAGTTAGGATCAGTGCTGATTACTGCTGAAAAGTAAAAATTTTGGAACTCACAATCAGCTCCAAAAATAGTAAACTGCCAATGCTCACAGTGAAGTGGAAGTGTAACTTGCCAGGATGAACACATCACAGCTCAAGGTGTTTACTTTGAATTACTCAAAAGTGATGGAAATGTGGAAATAGATCAATCAACAGTTTGTTAGCCTATCCCAAAGGAGCAGGCTGACCCAAGAAATAATTCTGACATTGCAAATTGCATGGCCAAGGCTTGTCATGATATTGGCCCTGAAACATTGGTAAAACATCATTTTTGTTGCCCTCTGATGCCCCAAAGTTAGATGGGACATTGGCAATGCACTGAGATTGCATTGCCACAATCCCACAGCACCCAACAAGAACACAAATGTCCATTTTACATCCAAATTGCATCCCAGAATCTTGCCAAAACCAGACATGTTTTGAAAAAGTTGCTTTGGATAAGTTTAGGATAAAAATTGGACATTTTGTCTGATTTTTATCCAAAAGTCATCCAAAAGCAGTCTATTGCTTTTGAATGGCTTTTGGGTCCAAAATGAACTTGTTTTGGAGCGATCTGGGAATTGTTTGGGTAAAAATTGGACATGTTGTCCAATTTTTATCCAAAAGATGTCCCAGTTCTCTCCAAAACTTGTATTTAATTTTTTTCAATCAGCTGCATTTGGCAAAATTTTTCTACTCGCAGGGGTTGATATTATTCTTTTCAGGATTTATGTTCTTCCTTTATGCCTATTCTGAAAGCTATAGTCTACTTCCTGGGAGAACTGGTTTTGTTCATCTTGCTTGATACCATCACCCCTTGCAAACAAGTTTGAAGAACTTTTCTGCTGGGCACTGGCGCCAGAAACTGCAAATAAATTCTCCAAATTTGTTTTCAAATTTTGGATGATATGAGGACACGTTTGCAGAACTTGTCTGCCAGACACTGGCACCATTCACTTGTACCAGAAACTTGCAGACAAGTTCTACAAACGTGTCCTCATATCATCCAAAATTTGCAAATAAATTTGAAGAATTTATTTGCAGTTTCTGGCACCAGTGCCCAGCAGACAAATTCTACAAAACATATCCTCATATCATCCAAATGTGTTTGCAAATTTTGGAGGATATCAGAACTAGTTTGAAGAACTTGTCTGCCAGAGAGGAAAATGTTGATCCTGCAGAACACAATTTCTACATGGACAAGTTTTCCAAAGAAATTCCAAGACTCATCCAAATGAGTTTTAAAAATGTCAGTGGAAATCATTTGGATCAGCTTCAGACATCTTTAGGAGATAATTGGGCTCACCAAGCAATGTCCACATCAGATGTGGAAATATATTGCTTGCTCTTGTATTGCCATTGCCAACATGCCAATCCCAAGGTAATGCCAATGGAATTGGACAAAAGGTCTGACAGCAGTGAAAAAAGAAAAACTAATTTTCCCATTCAAGTGCACCTATTTTTTGAGTTTCTGAGGTTTGGAGCTGAAAATGTTTGGAGCTGAGAATGTTTGGAGCTGAAAATGTTTGGAGCTGAAAATGTTTGGAGCTGAGAATGTTTGGAGCTGAAAATGTTTGGAGCTGAAAATGTTTGGAGCTGAGAATGTTTGGAGCTGAAAATGTTTGGAGCTGAAAATGTTTGGAGCTGAAAATGTTTGGAGCTGAGAATGTTTGGAGCTGAGAATGTTTGGAGCTGAGAATGTTTGGAGCTGAGAATGTTTGGAGCTGAAAAGGTTTGGAGCTGAAAATGTTTGGAGCTAAAGAGGTTTGGAGCCAAAAATGTTTGGAGCTGAAAAGGTTTGGAGCTGAGAATGTTTGGAGCTGAGAATGTTTGGAGCTGAGAATAAGGTTTGGAGCTGAAAAGGTTTGGAGCTAAAAAGGTTTGGAGCTGAAAAGGTTTGGAGCTAAAAAGGTTTGGAGCTGAAAAGGTTTGGAGCTGAAAAGGTTTGGAGCTGAAAAGGTTTGGAGCTGAAAATGTTTGGAGCTGAAAAGGTTTGGAGCTGAAAATCCAATAAATGTCATCAATGCAATTTTCAAGAACTAATGATTTGAAACCAGCAGGACGATTATTGCAACTGACTTCAAACTTAATATAGATTAGCACATACCACAGCAGTTTAAAAATGTTTCAGTTTGATGTCAATTGGCTTAAGAAAATTGAAATTTTCAAAAATTTCAAAACCTATTTGCACTGTAAAAAATACAGCAGCTAACCTTTTAACATTTTATGGCCAAATATTATCTAAGGTGTGGGTCTTTCTTTGGCAAATCTGTAAAAATGTCGCTGAAACTTTCATTTGAATCACAGCATGAAAAAAGCCCAGAATTGTGCAAGATGGTTTAATCTGTTTTAGTTTTCAGTTGTTAACTTATGAGACCTAATTAAATTCAGGTACAATAAGTTTGTGCAGAGAAAATTTTTTATCATTAGACACATACTTTGACACATTTTCGACATTCTACAGTGTATGCCTAATCTTTGATGGTGCAAATTGTTTCAATTTCAACCCAAATAGGAAGAAAACAAATTTTAGGTCGAAAATCACCACCAAATTTGTGAGACATTCTTTAATAAGTTAATGAAGTTGGAACTTCAAACCCTGGCATAGCTAGAAAAACATTTATGACCCCGAAATTTTTTTAGAACAAAAGTTTGTAAGGGGATGCAGCAGTCATGGCTTGTTAGCAAGGACAGCTAAGACCAAAAAGCTAAGTTTGTTACCTGAAAAGTTTTTAAGCCAGGGCATTTGTAGCCAAGACTCCACTGGACTGTAATCTGTTCTCTTGGGTGTTTCCTGGATGTCCTGATTTTCGTGTTTCTGATTGATACACGCTGACAATTTTTCCCATGGAGAAATGTGACCTGAATGCCAGAAGCTTGAGTGATACCGTGGCAACGTAGCTGACAATCTCCGGTCACTGTTATTCCTTTTGAGTACATTAGATGTCACTCTTGCTCCACACGTTGAGTACATCCTTGTCTATCAGCTGCAGTTGGCCACCGTCCGGTGTGCTGCACACCCAGGCTCTTCGCGCGCGACCGTTTTATGAACGTGAAATTATTTGTGCAGATCAACTGGCG